GCAGCTCCCCAGACCATGCCCTCAAGTAGCCTGTGATCTTTTGGGGGCAACACAGAAGCAAAGCAAACACGGCAATGTGTGTGGTGGGGGGGAGGACAGAGAGAGAGAGAGTGTGTGTGTGTGTGTTTGACAGGAGACTACCCCCAAAATCATCTCTTTGGGAGGACAGAGGGATGAAAGCTGCAAAGGACAGAGGAGTTGGAGCTGGTTACCAAAGAATGGCCACAAGGAGAAAGAGGACGGGGACAACTCCAGCTGCAGGAACACACATGCAAAAGCAAGACGGAGTAAGAATATAAAAGTTTCAGAGTGCTGCAAGTGACTCGGAGTAGGTGAGGCCAGAGACACCCTTAGGTACCAGATCTCGACAGAGCTGAGAAGCCAGAACCCCGGGGTCCTAGGGAGCCACTGAAAGTTTCAGAGCAGTGGAATGACAAGGTTCCAGAAGACCACTCTTATGAAGTTGGAACAGAGGAGCCATTTGAATCCCCATTTATGTCTCAAATTCCCCTCCTTCATCCTTTCTGCCTCAAGCTTTAATTCAACACCTACTGTGTGCACAACTCTATACTGGGTACCTGAGACCCCGGGGCCAGTACACTCACAGCACAACACACACACACACACACACAAGAGCATGGCACGATCAGTCCCAGGCAGCAGTAACTAGGCCCTGTCTACATCTGCCATCTCCCGTTGCTTGGAAAGGACTTCCCACCGAGTGTCAAATGTGCACCTGCCGGCTGGCCGGCACACTCACATAAAAGTCTCTGGAAAAAAAATGGATTATATTCATTCTCTTAACCTCACCCCAACCCGAACATAAATCGTCTCTGTTTATAACACTTCTGGCATTTTGTGCATTTTGCCGAGTGACATAAAATGACAATAAATTTCGGCCCCACCAGCAGAAAAGTACCTAAAATGCCACATGTCACTAATATTGACAGGTTCTAAAAGTAAAACTTGGAAATGGTTCAGGCGACATAAATTAAAATAAAAATATATACTTTGTCCTTGAGAGAGAATCAGCTAAAATTAAACCTCTGTGTGGGTGGGATGTCCAGGAATATGAGGGAGAGAATTATCAGGGGTGCCTGTTTCAGAACAGAGTCCCAGACTAGGAGGCTGAGAAGGACTCAAAGGAAACCCAAGCCGGGCCCTTGATAGAAAAAAAAAAAGGACTATTCTTAGAGCAGCACTTCTGATTCTGTGGCCACCACCTTCAGATGGCCGTTCAAATTTAAATATAAATTAATACATTTAAATACATAGCTATGCATATCTAAATTTAAATGCAATTAAAATTCAGCTCCTCATTTGCTCAGCCACATTTCAAGGGCTCCATAGCCACATAAGGCTAGCAGCTATTGTGTTGGACAGCAGATCGAGAACAACGTCACAGAAAGTTGTATCAGACAGGTCTGTCTTGGAGCAAAAGCATCTCGGCTGCTCTCCAGGGCAACTGACACCTGTGAATTTCCTTTCTTCTGATTTTCTCAGCCAGTCCCCCTTGATTTCTTCCTTTCCTTCTCTCTCTGGCATACTGTCTGCCGGCCTCTGGCCCCTTTCTCTGCCTCTCTCTTCTAGTTCCCTTTCTTTCTTTTTCCTCCTCCTTTTTTTTTTTTTTTTTTTTGTATTTCTCTAATACACAAATACATCAGATTCAGAAGGCTGACCAGGATTTGAAACCAGAGTTCAAAGCCCTGCTTGCTTATGAGCTGTGAGACTCAAGTGAGTGAGGGCAGCATGCCCATCCTCCCAACAGGGTAATTATGGGGGGAGTAAGACCTACGGTGCAAGGCTGTGGAATGAAATCACATGTTAGTGGCACACAGTAGGTGCTCAGTTAGATGCCACTGTTCTCTTTCTTCTCCTTGAACACAAACCTTCAGAGACTTACAAAAATTCACCAGATCTACTTCAGCCTCTTCAAGACCAGAATTCAAGACTCACCAAATTTTCCCTGCTTCGCATCTGGCTCCGGGCCACTCAGCCCTCTTCCCATGCTCTAATGTTCCGTGCACTTTTTAACCTCCCCGTTTGCCCAGCCTGGGATGTCTTTTCCCCTTTTGTCTGCCTTTTATTGTCTTACACTGAGTGGAAGGTCCAGCTCCGAGACCACTGTACCCTCCTGGGCACCTTCTCCTTGTCCACTGCGGCTCGAACCCAGGACTGGTTATGATGAGAATGAGAAAGCAGGTGTGGAGAGAAACCCAGAGGAATTAAATGGCTGGTCTGGCCCCTTTCAGGCAGACATGACCCTAGCCTCAATATGCGGCTGGGATGACACATCTCATTCAACCAGTCAACATTTACTGGGTGCCCACTGTTTGCGTGTCCCTGCCCAGCTGGGTACAGAGATGTGTCTGTCAAGCTCCTTCCGTTCCTGAAGGAGTCTGATTCAGAAAGAGACCCTCACCAAGCAAGGCCTACGCAGCACAAGTTCTGGTCATATCAAAGAGGCTTTTCGTCCACTTGAGAAGGCTGCAGGGGTGTGAAGAAATGCCCCCAGAGCAGGGCGGGCGTTTGGAACAAGGGTGCAGGGGTCTGTCACAGAGGCTGGCCTTTGTGGGATGGGCATTTCCAGACAGGTGACAGCAGGAGCAAAGGCGTGTGAGAGCAAAACATGTTCAGGGCCCCAAGAGTCACTCAGCCAGACTGAGCTGGGAAAGGAAGAGAGAATAAGAGGGAAGACAGGGTCGGGGTCAGAGAGGACGGGTCAATAGGGTGATTGAGGTGATGGGAATTAATCCTGAGGGAGCCACCGGAGACCTGTGATCATAGGGGCATTTTAGGTATCTCTGACTGCACTGGGGAGACAGGGTGGCATGGGGCAGTTTGGGGCTGGGACAAGAATGGCATGGGGAGGCCTGGGAGGTGGGAGGGAAGGGTGCTGCAGGGTGTGCCATGGTGGAGACAGACAGGACAGGAGGGAGGCCAGGGGGAGGCCCCGTCTTGGGCCTCGCCCTTCCCCCTTGGCTGCTGCTGCCTCAGGCATCCAACCACCTCCCCCTTCCTGCCAGCCCCAAGCCTTCTGGCTGCACAATTTGTGAAGAACATTATGTAAATGGGCTTTATGCAAATCCAGCCTCTCTCCCTGCTCGCTGGACTCCTGAACCCTAATTAACTTGCCAAAGCCTCATGTTGCCGTCCCCTCTACACCAGCCCAGCCCCCAGCCCCCAGACCGCTCCCCCATCCAAGAAATCCATCTTCAGAGGCAAGCGCAGTCTAATCGCTCCCTCATTTGGATGTGCGGGCTGTCACCCACACCGCTCGCCAGCAAGAGAAGGTGGCATTTCAGCCAGTTGACACTTCTGCTTCCGATACAGCTCCAAAATAAATGCCTCTTTCTCCCCCACAGCCCCCCCCCCTTATTTTGCTTGCTTGGAGAATCAGAAACAGCTCTGGGGAAAGTTGATGCAATTTCTCATTATCTTCAAGTCTTTCTTCTCCCACCCAGCATCACCCTCCCCTCCCCCATCAGAAAGTCAGGACCCAGGACCCTCTCTCCTGCCTCTCCAAAGATGCACCCAGGAAAGGACAGGGGATCCATTGTTTTTGAAATCAGAACAGCCAGGATTTTTTCCACTCCTGTTTCACAGAAGGCACTGATTGTGAACTTACACAACGTTATGTTTTGGACCTCAGGAGCAGCTCAGCCTCCTGGATTAGAAAGACAGCTGAGCCTAGGTTCAGTGAGCGCCAATGACATATCCAGGGTCACACAGTGAGGATGGACTCAAATCCGGCCTCCTTGTCCCCAAAGCTGGCTTCCTCTCACCTCCCCCGCCCAGCCCAACATCCCTTGTGTCCCAAACAGCTGGGTCTAAAGGAGCTGTTCTCAACAGTATGGTGCCTGCTCACTTTCAAGTGCAGAACAAAGCAAACTAAAGGCTTTCCCAGGAAACAGGAAGAATTGTGTTGTCAGCCAGTTCCTGCTGCTGCAGCAAATTCCCTGGATGCGACTCCAAAGGCAGAAATGGGTGAAGGGTAGGGAGGGTTGTCAGTGCCTCCAGAGCTCTGGAGGGCAGAGCAGGCAAGGCATTTAAGGCTCAAGGTTGTAAAGGAGTTTTTGAAAGATGCAGCATGTAGGATATTTACTAGAGTCTGGTCTGACGATATGGAGGGGGGACAAGCAGAGTGACCATTCATTCATTCATTCATTCAAGCATCATTCTTTCAGCAAGTGTTTATTGTCAGTAGTGCCTGGACCGGAGTGGATTCCAAACCCTAAAAAAAACATTTCTGCCTACGGAACCTGGTAACCCACCTGTCACCCACAACAGGAGATCAAGATCACCAAACACAAGCAGCCGTCTATCACCATGTCTCTCCAGTGGCCAAGTCTCTCTCCCTCCTCCCCCAACATCTGTGCATATGAATTTTAAAAGGGTCCACATTAGAAATCCCAGAAATCATCTTGTCCCTTCATTTTCACTTCTGAAAAGGAGTGATGTCTGCCTGTGGTTAATCCTGAGAGGAAGTTTTATCATGGAAGAAGGAATCCTGAATGACACACACATGGGGTTCAAATCGTATGACCTTAGGCAAGGTACAGCTTTCAAAGCCTCGTTTTCCCGTCTGTAAAAGGGGTATCACAACAGCACCAACCTCATAGGTTGAAGGAGTGACTGAGGAAATGGATGAAGGTAGCAAATATCACCTTCTGAGATAAAAGTCTGCTCACATCCCCTCTACTGAAGCCATCATCAATTTCTCATTGGTGTTTCAAAAACAAAGGTCAGAGACCAGAATTCTTGTAAGTTTTAGGATTAGAACTGTATTACATCAAAGATGCTACTGAAGACGTTTTTAGAAAACATGTTGGTCTAGTCACCTCTCTGAGCCTCAATTTTCTAGCTATAAAATAGGAATAATAAAATTAGCTACCTCATAAAGTTTTGGGAAGGAAGAGTCAATCACACAATTAGGGCTCAATGAATCCTGGACACAGAACACAGACAAAGATATACTCAATTAAATGCAGTGACAGGGAATTCTTTAATCAATTAATTAATTAAAAAGTAATTACCCAGATTGTCTATTAAGAAAAAAATTTTCCCCTCAGACTTGTGAAAGGTGATTTGAATAGAAATACTGGGTTACGTTCACAAAAAGCTTTTAAAGACTGTAGAAATTAAATGAATTTGCTTATCCCAGTAGAAGACATGTCTTTCTCTGAAAACAAGCATTCAGACTTGGATAGGTAGCAATTCTTTGTATCTCAAGTTTCCAAGCTCTCATCTTAAATAGATAGAAGGCATGGTCCAAATGTCATTCTTGATGACATATTCAATGACAAATGCTAGGATATGCATGGTGCCCTTTATAGTTATTACAGAGTTTTCCCACCCCCTCTGCCACGGAATTTTTTCTTGGGGGCAATCAAATGTCACTACAGATACTACTACAGTTCTAGCTCATGGCCAGCAGTCCACCTCACTCTGAGACATCATTTAGTCCTGTACTGCAAGAAGATCTCATTTAGCATACCAACTCCTATTAACTTATCATTGGAGCCTGAAGTACTGTGTTAAGAAGGATTCTGATGTCTTACTTGAGCTCAATGCCAAAGAGTGCCTTATTGATTAGTGATGTCTGCTACGGAGGTTTATGGTCAGTGCGTATGTGCTTCATATTTGCTAACCCTGAGCTAGTACAACCCTGTGTGTGATAGTCAAAGAAGGTGAAGCTCAGAGAGGGAGACTGGATCTTCCAGGGTCACACAGCTATTTAGTGGCAGAGCCAGAACTAGATTATCCCCTGGCTCTGTGCCCAGGTCTATTTCCTCTCCATCATAATGCATGCAAGTCCTTAATCAGGACCCAGTGGTATCTATGAAACCACTATAACATTTGGCATTTGCTGCACTATTTACTACCCACCCCATATGGTTCCAAAAAGATCTGCAGTGATCACACACCAGAAATACACACAGTTGAGAGAAATGCACACGTTAAAGGAGGATTAAAATAAAAACAGACTAGCGGGAAGGGTATAGCTCAAGTAGTAGAGCACACGCTCAGTAGGTAAGAGGTCCTGGGTTCAATCCCCAGTACCTCCTCCGAGCGGAAACCAATGAATAAACCGAATTACCTCCCCCTTATAAAAAAAATACAATAAACACAGACTAGGTAAACAGGCAATGTAACCAGGAAAATGAGAACAACAACAACAAGAAAAAGAGGGAGCCAAGAGTACGTCTGGCACACAAAAATGCATTCCTACGCCACTGCTGGGCAACTGGTGGCCGATGCAAAGAAGGAAACAGGAATCCAGGAGTTTGAAGATGGAAAGTTCAGTCAGTTGCTCAAAAGAAGATTTCCTTGATGTTCCTCTGGAAGAAATACCTCCCATAGGTGCTCGTGCCTAAGGAGCTGTGATGTGGTGCAGGACGTTCCTCAAAGACATGCCTCCAAGAAAAGAAGTGATTTTTACACCGCTGACTCTTGGAATGTCTCTTGGTGAAGGCTGATGATGAGATGTCAAAGTGTGGTCCAGGAACTAACTCCAAGCTTTTCTGTCACAGTCGCCAATGACTGCCATGTTTCCAAAGCCAGCGGTAAGGTTCCATTATTCATCTTACTTGACCTCCTCCAGTCTTTGATACAACTGATGGCTTCACCCTGGTTTTTTGCCACCTGCAGGACACCACATTCTCTTGAATTTCTTCTATGTCACTGACAGCTCCTTCTTGATGCCCTGGGCTTAGGTATCTCCTTTCTTCTGATGTCTAAATGTCTCAGGCTCCAAGGCTCAGCCTGCAGACCTTCTCTTAGACTTATCTGTCCTCAGTTCTTGGTGATCTCATGGCTTTAAAATCATCCTTGGGCTGACGACTTCAAAATTTGTATCTCCAGCTTGATCTCTCTCCTAGACTCCAGACTCATATATCCACCTGCCTCCCTGACCTCCCCAGGTGGACACTAATGGCACCTCAGACTTCACACGCCCATCACCAGAGACTTGAGGCCATACCGTCCTTTTCTCCAACCTGTTGCCACACCCCAGTCCTCTCCACTTCAGGGAACAGCAACAATGATCACCACATTGCTCAGGCCAGAAACCTGAGACTTGGCCTTTACTCCTGTCTTCTTGTCACATCCAGTAACCAGTCTGTCAACAAGTTCTGTCCACTCAATTACAGACAGTATCTCAAACGCAACCCTGTTTTCCCCTCTCTACCACAACCTCCTGGTTTAAGCCACCTTCCTTTTTCAGCTGGTGGACAGGAAATTCTCCTTTCTTACCTTTCTGCTTCCACTCCTGCCCCCTACAGTCTGTTCTCCAGACAGCACTCAGAACAAACACTTTTAAAATGCCGTTCTGATAGATCACTACCTGACTCAAAGCCCTCTGACGGCCTCTCCATCACTGTGAAAGCCAAGGTCCTCTCAGCCCACTGGAGAGGCCCTGACCCCTCTCCTCACTCACAGTAGGCTCCAGTCACACTGGGCTCCTGCTGGGGATACTCTCCTCTCAGACCTGTGAAGGCAGGGCAGACTCTGGGTCACACATTTGCAGTTGACTTGCCTGGAGGAACCCACACTGAGAGTTTTGCCCTTGAAGGTGGCACATGGAGTCATGTCTGTTCCCTTGGCTGTTGCCACCAGGGATGCCCCAGTGATTTCCACAGCATACCCTTACTCATAAATATCTCCCCTTGGTGTCAGCTGACCCCTTGGATCTCACCCAAGGAAATACTGTCATCAAACCCCAATAAATTTCTAAAGCCCCAAGCAGACCAGGCCAATTTAGAGCAGGTTTTGGCTTTAATAATGTTTTGTCTTAGATTTGGCCCTAATTATAAATCATTTGCAACTGTGGTTTAAACCATAAGCAAATCTTTCATGGCATTCTTATTATCTACTTAATATCGCAGAGAGAAAGATTTACGGAATCACGTTCTGGGAATTAAGCAAACGAGGAAACTTTTAGGTGAGGATGAAGCACATGAAAATTATAGTTTTGTCATAAAACGTTGATTGATCAACGATTATTGTAAAACTGTGGTAACTGGGCTGGCGTCAACATAAATCTGTAATTGGCTGGATTTATTCTTTTTCCAAAATACTATATTTCCTACAGTTTTGACCGTTGTGTTAATCTGGTCTGTCAGATTTACTAGTTTTAACTTAATTAACTTCATTTAGCTTATGCATATGTGTGTGTGCAAGTGTATGTAGTGTGTGTGTGTGTGTGTGTTTTAGATGGATGGATGGATAGATGCATCACTAGTTTCTTGTACTTTTCAATGCTTTGTGTTTTTCTTCAAACCTAATTTTTAAAATTGAAGAAAACACACTTAGCTGAATGAAGCCGATCTTGCTGTAGAAATGGGTCCAAAGCACTGCTTTCCGAGTTGTTCTCCTACACGGTGACCACACAGAGTCATGATATTGCATCTTGGGAGGCAGGGAGGACTGCAAAAAGATTGTGAGTCAAGTTCAAATCTTGGCTCTGCCATTTGCTGGTTGTGTCATCCTGAGGAACCCACTCCACCCCTCGTAGCCTCAGGCTCCTCATCTGTAAAACAGGAATAATTACACCTACCTCAGAGGCTACTGCAAGGCTTAAATGGAAAGACAAAAGTGAAGTGGTTAGCCCGTGCCTTGGCACACAGTGGCTGCTCAGCACCTGCTGTGGAAGCTCTCCCATCCTCTTCCCAGTCAGGGGTGGATGTGTGATGTCGGGGCAGGGGGAGCATGCCCTCAGGAATGAAGTCCAGGAAGCATTCTAAACCTCAGAGGCACCATCATAGAGAGAGCTAGTCCTGACACCAGGGGGAACCAGACCAGACACCAGGATTATCTTCTATTCCAATAGGACAAGGGAGACTGTAGGTCCAGATCACAGCCACACAGGAGCAGACAGCCATATAATAATGCAAAATTAAAATAATTATAAAACAGCAGCCCCCACGAATTAACATGCACTTGCTATACACCAGCTTCTATGCTCAATCTTTACATACTTACTTTTATTAGAGCTCAGGCAGTGATGACTCCCTCTGAGGTCAGAAAATCAAGATGTCAGAGATGGGACTTGCCCAAGGTCACACTGCAAATGAGTGGCAGAACCAGGACCCCAAACTCACCTCCTTAAGCTCTGAGCTTTTCTGCTTCCGAGAGTCACTGGGACTGCATCTCCCTTCACCGGCGGCCCTGTCTCTTAGGGGTGGGTGTGTCCTGAGCTGGTGAGTCTTTCCAAAGCTAACCTGAAAGGAAAGGGAGGCCCAGGTGAGCCATTTTGGTCTCTTCTTACCTAACTGCTGAGGACAGAGCTGAGAAGTAGCCGGTTTGAGGTGGAAACCCACCCTTCTCTTCCTGCCGAGTATTGCATTGGGGTGGAATTGCACTTTATTTTTCTTGATTCCCACTATGTAGCCAGTGAAAAATATTTTCTGAACCTATTCTGAGTCACTGATTCACACTGTCTGTTCTCAAGTTGTCCAGGGTCAGGAGAGTCAACCGTGGCTAAATGAACCCAGACATTGGATTTCGCCAAAAAGTAAACACTCTGAGCCATGAAGAGAAAAAAAAAATGTCGGTTTCAAATATAACTTTCAAGTGCAATCTCCTTTCCTCTCTTCTTCCCCATCACCCCGCCCTCTCCCAATCTCTCCCCCTCCTTTCTTCCTTGTCACCTTGATTTCTCTTCCTCTGTCTTTCTCCATCTCTTTCTTTTCCTCCCCCTCCTTCTTTCAATCTCCTCTTCTTTCTCCCTCTTATTTCTCTCCTTTGTCTATTCTCTTCTCTCCTCTTTTCTTCTCTTCTGTTTTAAAATATGCCCAGGAATTTGTTTTCTTTAGGGACCAAGAGGCCAACAGATCAGGAGACGACTGCCATTGAAAAGACAGTTTGTTGCTCAAGCTCCCAAGAAGAGAGGCCAAGCCAGGCCAGGCAGGGCCACATGGGGAAGCACCAGAAGGTGCTTCTGGTCAGAGGCAGAAGGAGCAAGAAGAAAGCATTATGTAGGAGATCTGATTGTGGTTTGTGCAGGGCAGACAGGCAAGACGAGAGTAAGCTAATTTGAGATTGGCTGCTTTGAACAATTTCAGCAGATTCTGGGCTATAGGGCTGGTGGTTCCCTGGCTGTCTGGAACCTGGCCCTGGGGTGATTCAGGCAGAGAGATGGTGTCCTGGGCTGCAGGAGTCTGATAAAAGGAGTCAGATGAGTGTGTGGACGTTGCATTGTTTGGTCTGCACATCAAAGATGTGCTGGAAAGCAATGTTTGTCCCTCTAGGATTAGCTAATCCTGGGAGGGGCAGTCCCTCTCTGGGTCTGCAGGGCGCCGAGGTGTCAAAGCATCATAAAATAAAGAAAATGTTTAAAAAACATAATTAATACAGCTTCCTTTCTCCCTTCTCTCCTCTATCCTCCCTTCTGCCTCCCCAAAGCCTGCAAAGAACTTGCCACAACTGTTCAGGTGAGTCATAATAAAGGGCTGGGTTGGGCGGGTGACAAGGAACCAGGAGAGGAACAGACAGTCTCCTGCACCACTGGAGAGGCAGAGCCCTCGTTTTTAGAGACTGAATGTGCCTTCTGCCAGTGGAGGGGAAAGCTCCGTTCACCTGCCCCACCGGCCTGGCCTCTGCACCTCCGCTTCTTGAAAGCCGTCCCTTGTCCTGACAGTGGTGGCCGCCGTGTCCTTGCCCTCCACTATACCGTGGGCTGGTTGTTTTGCCCAGGCCTGGAATTACCCAAATCCCCTTAAATACATGGCTGCAAATGAGGACACTGGAAAAAAGGCAATAATTGTGACAGTAACTCACGGGGCCAGGCCTGACACGTCTCTAATTGCCTGCTAAAATTGTCGCTGTCTCCTAAAGTGCAAATTATCACCCGAAATGACAAGAATAATGAATGAGTAACTCTGATGTAATGCAACAATTAGTCCTCAAAGACACTGTCTAATATGGTAATTCAGAACACCCACTCCTTGTTATTAAGTGCCTGATAATTATTTAATTATCTATCTGCCAGCATGATTTACTTGGTTTATTTAGCTGCAGATGTGGGCAGGAGCATTTGGGTTTAAGGTCAGAACGAGCTGGCCCCTCCATCGGCCGCCACATCGGTTTGCTTGGGTGCTGGAGGCTGCCGCCTGTCTGACGCCCTTAATTGGCTTTGGCAGTCCCCACCCAGAGTCAGAAGATCCTCTCCTATCCGCTCCTGGCCCTGGCCTGGGGTCATTCGGGGGCCACGGTCTCTACTTGCCTCTTGCCCTGTGGGCCACCGACAAGTGATCAGCATATTTTGGGTAAACGGCTGCCCCACCAAGATCAAGTGAGCGTTCACTCTGTGCCAGGCTGAGTGCTGAGTGCCGAGTGCGGCCCAAGGATCAGCTCATTCAATCTTCTCAGTAATGCCAGGAGCTAAAACAACTGGCATCAGCATGTGACAGAGGAAGGAACTGAGGCCTGCACAGGTGAGGTCACTTGTCCGAGGTCTCACAGTGAGCAAGTCACAGGGCCAGGACCAAGCTCTCTGTCTCCAGAGCCACTGTGCTCTCCTGGACCCCGACACTGCCAGGGTAAGGCTAGCCCCATAACTACCAGTCACAGCTTATTTACTCCAGGGCCACTGCACCAACAGAAGAGTCCGTGTCTTGGTCTCCAAGTCACAAAATGACTTATGGGGGAAGAAGAAAGAGGGCTTATGTGTCTGTGTTGACCCAAAGAAACTAGAGCCAAAGAGTAGAAGTTACTTCAGAGAGACAGTCTTGGGATCTAAAACTGGACCACTTACTAGCTGAATGCACTCAGGCAAGTTACTTAACCTCCCAAAGCCTCAGTTTCCTTATCTGTAAAATGGGTGTGATCAGAGTCTCTCCATGATCACTCTGTCAAAAGTACCCCTTCATCATCACCACTCTCCATTTAGCATCCTGTTTGTTTCATTTACTAAATGTGTCTGTATCTGAAATTATCTTGTTTATTTATCTAATTATTTCCTACACCTACACACACACACACACACACACACAAAGCATATAAGCTCCGAGGGGTACAGGGACTTTGCCTGCCTTATTTATCCATCATATTCTCTGCACCTAGAACAACGCTGTACACAATATGTCTTAACAGCACAAGACAGGCTCTCAAGAATGAATGAATGAATGATCAGAAGCCAGGCACACTCTCAGGCCAGCATGACCTTCCCCAAGTGACACTGCAGCACACAGCTCTCTACCCCACGTTCTGCCCCAGCCATCTGTTCTAACAATGCCTCCATGCAAAAGGCCATGGTGGCTACCACTGGAACTCTGATTTTCTTGCTTTGGTGCTCCAGCCAACAGGCCCCATGCCTCTAGCAGCTTCCCAAGTCCACATACCTGAGGATAAGTGTGACTGGCCCAGGCCGTCTGCAGCAGATGATCCTGCGTCTCCCACACCCACATTTCTTCAACACTTCCCATTTCCAGGCACATGTGCCCAATGTCCACCCTCCAACACAGGTCTCATTGCCTGAGGGCTCCCTCTGTCTGCTGGAGCTCTCTATGGACCACACAGGTCAGGCTGTGCTCATTCAGGCTGGGCATCAAGCTCCCCCGGAAGAAGCCTGTGGGAGTCAGTGGGTAGACAGCCCGGCTCCCTCCCGCGGAGCTGTGAATGCCATACTCTCTTCACCAGATTCCTAGTGGGCTGAAGCTCCAGTTCCCCAGGTAGTAGGTACTCTTGGCACCCCACTCACATCCCTTGGAAAGGCCAGTGCCTCGGCTCTTGGGAATGTTGACTGTTCACATTCAAGGCTGCACCCTACAGCTAAGAATTGCCCTCAGCTAACAAGAGCCACCTTACTGGGAAATGCCCAGGAAACTACACCCTCCTCCAGCAATGTCCCATTGCCACAACTAACTAGTACAAGGGTACTAAAGGCCAGCCTCCTAGCTCCAGGGGGACAACCCTATGGTTCTGTTTAGGCTCCAGAGCTCCTTGGTGGGCAGCTGGAGGGTGGAGTTCAACTGAACCCATACCTTTTCCTAGGTCCTCAAAGGCAGGACCATTTCTGACTTGCCGACAAAGCACATACTTATTGAGTTAGCGAATGAATGAATGAATGAATGCACAAATACACACATTCATATATACATACATACAAAAATGATTGAATCAGAGCCATACATTTGCCAAATCAAGACCAGAATCTGTCTTTTCTAAGTTATCAGCTCATGTGTTGAAGTGGGAGGAGGTGAGCTAAAGGGAGGGCTGGGCTGGGAGTCAGAAGACCTCAGCTCTTGTCTTTGATTAACTGCGTAACTTGAGACCTCATGCTCTGGGTCTCCATTTTTCCATCTGTCAAATGAGAAAAAGAACGTTTTTCTCCATGTTGTCTTCCAGCTCCAACATAGTATGTGTTTTGCAATATATTTTTAATTTTCTATTTTGAAATAATTTTAGACAAGAAAAGTTTTTAAAAGAAAACACACACACATACTAGCACAGAGAGTTCTCATATACCCTTCACCCAGCTTCCTCGAATGTTAATGGTTTATGATTTTTAAACCCTCAGTTCAAATATCTGGGGGATCATCTTAAGGGTGGAGACGTGGCCAGAGCAGCAGAAAGGAAGTTCGTTTGAGCAAATGCAGAGTGAAAATTCCCCTGGCTGGGCAGCCCTGGAAAACCAGACAGCAGCAATGTCCCTTCCTTTCGATCTCTCTCTGCTGCTCATGGTGCGGCCACAGCTTCCTTTTATTTGTGGTCTCTCACCTCCTATGCCATGGCAAACAAGAGACTTTATAAATATTTCAAACACTAATAATTTGTGCTGGCCCTCCTTAGACTTTTAAATGAATCTAAGAGCATTTCTCTCCAAGGAACCTGCCAAAATGCAGACAGGAGAAAGAAATATCAGCACCAGCCGCGGCCTGAGATGGGTACCTGATGCAGAGATGGGACCAGGGGCTGTGGCTGCAGGTGTGGAACACGTCTCTCTTCTCCCACCCACATCCCCCACCCCAGCATCTGTCTGGGGAAGCTATGTCTGGCCAGGGAAATGGCCAGCTCACCCAGTCCACGGAGTCCCACGTTCCAGCTGATAAAGAGAGAAACAGAGGGCTGGTAAATTCCATGGTTGGTATTTGGATTTGGAATCAGACATTCCTGGGTTCAAATCCCAGCTTGTCTATTCATTAGCTGTGTGGCCTTGGGCAAGCCACTTCCCCTCTCCAAGTCTTTTTCTCTTTATCTATAAAGTGGATATTGTCAAGAT